TTAGCTTTAGTACTAAATTTCAATAAACCTATTGTCAAACTTATTTATCTATCTAACTTAAAATTATAATTATTGTCTGTGTTTTTACGTTTGCTGTTTCATGATGATTCGATTTACATTCAATTTATGATTATATTGTAAAATATAAGTTATATCCAGCCAACCAGGGTTCGGGACTTATAGAACTTATAATCATCAAAATAAGCTATGAAAAAAGCTCTTAAATACTTGCACTAACAAAATCACTTGAGAATATTTACAAAAGCAAAAAAACTAACAAAACTATCAGCACAAATTTTTTTTATAATATACTAAGAAACAAAAAGAAAATCAAAAACTTTTTGAGTTTTTTAAAAACATTTAAAATTCTTTATTATACTCCTCATAGATTTACTGAACATTTTTCTATAATAAACCAAAAAAAATTATTTGTGCCATGTTTTGTCTCTGAAAAACTGGGTGGTCACCCGTCCGGGAGTTCGAGAGCTAGCGATGACGGGTGCAGTGTAACCTCAGGACTTTTACGTTACTGTGGTCAGCCACTGCACAACACCATGGCAGAATAAAATTATATTATGTTTGATATAGGAAGTAGGGAAGTACCTGCTTATAATATTAAATAAACAATTTGATGTTCAGTTCTTAGTATAACTGGGATCGTTCTTCATTAATACATAAAAAACAAAATTATTAGTAATTACTACTAATTAAATGGAGTGATTATGACATTCACTACCCATACATCATTGTTGATTTACTTCTCATAAAAAGCTAGGACTCCAACAGCCATAACTATTTAACAACATTGTACAACATTGTATAATACTTATACATACGTTTATGAATAATACGTATACTGTATTATATAATAGTAGCTGGTACCTATGTTATTTTGTTTCTTTCAAAAAAGAACTTGGTAAGGAACTTACTACTAACGTGACTCTGCTCGGTGACAATTTTGTTTATTATAGCCCCTCGTCTTTTATTCTCATAGTTACTGATTATTTATTAGATACCTAGTAATAAATTAAATATTTATATTATACAATCAAATATCAACATCCGTTTTGGATACACAAAACGAAACAAAAAAATTACAAGACAAATACTTTTTATCGGGTCAGAATTTAAATTTCAAATTATTCGGGTTTCCGTTGAAAATATTGATATGTATAAAATAAATCATTTATGTGCATTATACGCATGTATAGATTTACATGCATTATGTATACACTATGCTCATATTGTACATGTATTTTAATATTTATAATGTATAGAATGCTTTCCACGTGGCACCCATTGTACATAGACAAAGGTGCCACGTGCCGTTTCTTTATCGTAAATATCATGAAAATTATTACTCTCTTGATGCAAGAGCGATATTGAACATTTATTATCACATTTTATGAGTAGGTATTTGTTGGTTTACTCCGAAATAAAATAAAATCGTTTGCTGATAAGTTACTTTACAATTCTAGATAAGCAACTCGTATAAAAAAATGTATGTTAATATTTTAGTTCAGAGTTCTCATTAGTTATTCATATAGTACTCTTACATGATTTAAGTTTTAAATATTAGGCAAGAGGCCTGTAGAGGAGTGCCTATATATTAATATGAAAGCACACGGGAATGTACAAGGTCAAGCATAGTGGATTCTAGATATTCTGTACACCGAACTGTATATATAAGTGGTTTGACGACCGAGTTGTGGTCGAAGAAGGAGAAATCGAGTTGTTGTGAATTACTCTATGTCCTATGACATAATACTGAATGTTCTAACTTTTAACAGTTTAGGTACACATTATGTTGACACAGGGTACTACATTCTTAATATAACAATATATCCAATGATTTTTTTTTCAATTTGCTTGTACTTACATAAAATGAAAGCCATCAGTAGTTTTAGTGTAGAATTCTGGAGCAGAACAGAACAGTTCTCTAGAAAAGGGTCAATTTACAACACTTGTTGATTACATTATACGGGCTTAAAGTTTAGATACGAGAGTGTCATATGGGATGTTAGCGGCTCTAATAAAAAATATTACGCTCATAATCATAAACAATAGGTAAACTATATAAAATTAATATATTATATATTTTTATGTTTGATGTTTAACAGTTTTCAAACGATGTAGGTAGTATTATCTCGTCAGCAGGTATCTATTTTCTAATTTTGTGTAAAAAAATAACAGTATTGTACAACACAACTATTTGCCGGTGCCTACATTGCGTAGTATATTACACGTCGGATAACCGACTGGAGGTTAATGTACAATAGATATATTATTATAATGCAGGTGAATATACTAATTATACACATTGACAAAATTGTCTGTTTTTTTTTTTGTGAGTTTGGGGTGAGAAATCGTATGGGTGCCCGTATGGCCGTTTACAAGTATAAAAATTACTAAACATATTATTATAATAATAATGCCATGCGTGTCGGCAGCTGAAATGTGTCAGGTGAAATCAGCTCGAAGAGAGAGCTGTGGAACCGTCGTCGTCGCTCTACCATAAAACATTCTCTACTCCCACTCTTGACTTCGTACCCGCCAAGTGTGAAACGCAATTGAAGATAGCGCTTTGGGAAAAGGGGACGATGCACGATGGAGCTTATTCGTCACTATTAAATTTAATATTGTTATAGGTAGGTACACTCCGCGTGGCCCCTGCGATTACACGTTGTTTACTAAGGACAAACGGGTAGCTATTAGGTATACACACACTACCTAATTACAAATCGAAATACCGCATTCTTGGATGAACGTACGTAGCCTACGTACCTATATAAAACAAACCGATTAGATTTTCATCTTGACGTTTGAGCCAGATGCTATAATGTTGTATAATGCAGGTCATAAGCCGAATTCAGATTTATAATATAACGTGTCCTCTTGTGTTTGTACTTACAATTTTATTCCAATGAAAATATATAAATAGGTATACTATAATGTAATATATAGGTAACAGAAAATGATTCAATGTGATCACGTATTGATTTTCTCAATTTTAATGGAAAACATTGATTAAATGTGTCAGATATATAAAATAACTGAGCAGCAGACTATTATTTTCCTCATAATGCTCTTCACGATAAGTGTGAGATAATATGTATAACAAATATTATGTTATGTACACAGAGCACTTATGTGTACACATCAAGGTAAAGGTCCTGCTAAGGTGGAAAGGGGGGGGGCCTTCCGGGTATGTAAAGGGCTCATATTGTAGTACATGCTTAAAATGTAAAAGCGAGTCTTTGTACTTTTACACCATGTCCTACGTGAAACGTTTGACGTGGCGAAAAATAAAACAGTTTGTATTTCATAGCTCTCTCGAGCAACGAATAGTGCTGGTCAGAATGGAATTCGTTCGCATTCGCCCAATTCACCGCGTTCACGTAGGACATAGCGTTATGGTGTAAAATATTACATTTTAAGACAAACTAAATTATAAATAAAATAATATATTCTGCTGTGAAAATAGTATATACCTGCACTACTATTTCCCATGTCGTCACCAGACAGTGTTTTTCAACAGCCGCCTGTTTTTAGAATATTTATTCTATATTTTTCCCGTATGAAGACAATAACAACAAAAATAATTGTTATTTTATAGGGGTTCACTATACACCTAGGGTTGATTTACCAATCGTGCTCACAACCGTTGGTTTTTTTTAATAATAATTAATTTATTCAAGTTCTGATTTTTTTGGATTGTAGAGTATACTTATTAGGATAATAAAAGATTTTTATAACATTTAGTTATTTTAGTCTTGTGACGAAAAAACTTCTATTTTTTAAACAACAACCGAACATTTTTTCTGTAAATTACGAAGTGGATGTTTTTTTCAAAACTATTGAAGTATTTATCAATATAAGAACTGTAATTTCTGACTTCTTGAAATCGTCATAGATACTAAAAATAATGATAACACTACATAATAGTCCTTAAAAATTATTTTTTATAAGTATAAAATAAATTAATATTAGATCTTTAATATGTATTGTACACTGACCATTTTTAAAATTATAAAATATCAATAACTTATATAAATTATGCACTAGAATATTTACAAATCAGTCATACCTATCTTCCAAACCCTTTTCCATCGACATATTAACTGTTGTACCTAAAGTTAAATAAATTACAAACTTCTTGTTCGGGATCGATTTATAATTTGGTAGGTTCATACAAATTTCTAGAAAAGTCATTTGAGTATCTATTTATAGGAGAATAATGATTCTATTCTAATTTGATGAAAGCTGGTATTTCCAAAGAAAACTCCTTTATTTTTTATTAATTTAATTGTTTGGCTTATAAACATCAACATATTTACCTAATATTTTTAATATTCATATTCATATCATTTTCGACGTTTGAATTATAATACTTATTTAATTTAAGTAATGTAAAATTGTATCATATTATATTTATAATATTCACAAATCAGTACATATATATATTTTTAATTTTTAGTTCCGTCTTCTGTGTTACCTACCTATTGTACCTAAGTAATGATGTAAGTAATAGTATTATCTATTACCTAAAGCATAATAACAAAATGTTCAAATTATTAAATTGTGTTATTTTAAAATTTTAAAAGGTAACATTTTAATGTTGTACTTTAAATGAAATGAGATAGTAATAATAATAATAATATCATACATTAATTTTGTAATTTACGTAGGTTCTTATAAATTATTAATCGATGGTAATAATTTTACTGATGATATTTCTTAACAGCGAGTAATTACAAAATAATACAGCCAGGGGTACGAACAATTCTGGTGCTTTTTTTCCTACCCACGGGTTGCTACACAACCATATTTATTGGTCCCTTTCGACCCTACAGGTTAGGTTTTAATCCATGCTTGAGTAGCTATCACACGTCTAGCTGACAAGACATGAAATATGATTGAAATATTCTTTCCTACAAACAAATAAAACGGATTAATAAATAATTTTATCAATTTTTATTATCGTTAAAGTGTTTGTGCAGGTGGCTCGAACGGAACAACGGTAGAGTCGGAAAAATGGAACCGGCGGCGGCTGTTTCCGGCCAAGAACTTCCGCAGCGGCCTCCTCCTTTACAGAGGAATCACCGGCAGTATCGTTAAAATGCTGCCCTGCACGTCCATAGGCTACGTGATCTACGAAGAGCTGTGCAAGTCGTTCGGCGTGCAAATGTCGTGAAACGTTAACATCATATTATTATAGTTTTCGATGTATGTGCACCTATTTATAGAATATTATTATGTATGATCAATGTACAAAAAATATTAATAATACATTTCAGACGATATGATTATATGGGACCGCACAAGCTGCACTACACTCTCACGTTTCTGCGAACATTATTATACGCATTCGTCGTACATTATTTCGAACCCATGTGATACATTAGCAGGTGCCTATTAAATACAAACTGTATACACGCACACAATCAAACATAATAATATGTAGTATATCGGGCGATTCATTATCGTCAGAAACTCATTATTTCAAAAAGGTTCTGAAAAAATATTTTTATAAGGTTTTTATTTTCAATTGTTAAAATTTTTTTTTAAACATATTTTTCATCCTTAATATTTCTTAAGGGTTTTACTTTTTTGAATGACAACATACAGTTTGCATGAAACTCCAAAGAAGAATATTTTTCTTGGCATTACATAAAGGATACATAAAAATCTAATTTCGGACTAGTAGTTTATGACTTATGAGTTATAAGTATTTAAAGTTTAGATTACCTTAGTTGAACGTTACGTGGTTACCCCGCAAAATGTTTTTCCACTACTCCTCTCATTCCGATTTGAATACATCGAAATTCTTAGAAAAAAATCTGGTTTTGGATAGCACATTAAAACTGTATGTTGTATTCCAAAAAAAAGTTAAAAATATTTAAAAATATGGTTAGTTAAAACAATGTTATGTAACGACTTCATATCATGTAAAAATAATATTATCAAAAACATCAATACTTTTTCAATAATGAGTTATGACTTTTTTAGAATGAATGTCTTACTTTAAATGAATTATCCTGTATACTTGATGGTATATAAGTACAAATTGTAATTAAATATTGTTTTGTTGCAGTTTTTTTTGCGTCACTAGCATTTTCGACTGTCATGTTCATATTATAATATTGTGTAGGTAGTAAATATCTCTGTATTATTAAATTTTTTTTTTTCATTGATCTGTAAATACAACTCGGCAGCAACGGACATTAGTTTATAAATGTTTAACATAGCGCCAATTATGCGTGCACATATTCCTGCAGACACACAAACTTAATATAAAGTATTAAGGTATTTGTGTATTTTTTATAGCCCTCTGAGAAATTGTCATTATGTAATTAATATTTAATTTATTGTAAATTCTGTAAAACATATAGAAATGTATGATATATTGTTTAAAGATGAAAATATAATATTCGTTTATAATTATTAATGCGAACTGCACGATAAACAATTAAAATTTGTATACTTAGTTCTTAGAATTTGTATAACAACTTGTTTGTACTAATATAAGAAGATACTATTTTATTGGTGAGTCAACTACATTAATTATAGTCTTGATAATTTTGAGAGATCCTCCGATATTATTTTCTCTTTTGTATATTATATTCTAAGCGGAGCTGTGAATCCATTTTAGTTTAATGATGATGTCTGATGTTTTTTCTGTGAGCATATAATACACGTTTTATACTTGAAAAAATGAAACGATTTTCCATTCTTGGCTTTTGGTAGAAAATTGGATCTAGGAACTTTTGGGGATCAAATTGTTTTTCATATTCGATGAAAACGGCAAAACCAGATTTCGACAAAATCGATTTTATTTTTTTGGTTGCCTAGGTAATTTATAAATTAATGACTTAAGTTGTTTTAATTTTTTACCAAACATTTCATATTTTCTAGATAAGGTATAAGTTTAAAAATATTATGGCAATTTTTGTAGTATTTATATAGAGTACATTTGAAGTTTTTCAAGTTTTTAGTTTTTAAATTTGTGGATAATAAAATTTAGTTTTTTTAAAAAAAGCTAGACAATATACTTAATAAGTGCTCTTAACACGTTTTTCTTACCTCAATTGAAATGTATCAAAAATTCACTGAACATTTTCTTTTGGAATTGTAAAGTTATCGAGTACTAATATACAGGATATTCGTCTAAATTACACAATTTTTATTTCATTTATAATTAAAAATTCCTAGCAATTTTAAATTTTTGAACAATAAAGTACCATTTTATTTACTGGAAATAAGTTTGTTATTAAAACCACATTAAGCTTTTATGTGTGACATTGAAGTTAAACTGTTAGGGAATAACCAGTATAATTTTTGATAGGAGCATAGATTTATAAGTATAAGCGTTCCAACGTACTGAGTACTGACTTTAGTTTTACTACGATAATAACTTCAAATACATATTTTTAGTTATTATGAAGTCTAATTTAATCCTCTGAGTCAAAATTAAAAACATTTTAAAGTTTTAAAACTATTTTAGATTTTTAGTGATGAATTTATTGATTTTACACAATGATGTATTGATGTGCGTGTGTTTATGTCTAACATCACCTTTCGGTACAGTAGAAATGCTACGATTTTCTATTTCAGCATCGTTTTTTGGTAGGAGGGTGAATCTGGTTAGTACTTTGAGGGATCAAATGTAAGAATTATCAATAGTTTTAAAAAAAGTGTTGAAAAACAACAAATTAAGAAAAACTGAGTTTTTTTATGTAAAACCAGTTTGTGAAAAAATCGATTTTAGTTACTCTCAAAAAAAATGTAGATAAATGAAATTTTGTACTGAATGATGTTTAGTATTAAATACTAAAGGAATTTTCTTTTTTATTGGGGGGCATTTCTGTACACTAAAATATGTTCTTAATATTTTGAAAATTATGTACTATTTATTGCATACGAAAATGTTGATTTTAATTTTTTTTTTTTAATTATTGTCGATAAAAGTTTTTTCAATTTATCAAAAACTTGAAAATGTAATACAAAATTGTTCGTATGTTGCTGATGATGAAAATTTAAATCTGAGATTAAATCCACATGATTTTTTATGAGCGTCTGAAGGTAGAATATTGACAAAACTCATAAATATAAGGAACATTTGGAAAATATGGTGGTCCAAAAAATCATAAAAATATTGTACATACATGTAAGATTTGAAAATGTAATTCAAAATTCCCCATAAGTTGTCTAACAATTAACAAAAGTGAAAAGTTTATTAGAAAGTCAAATAAATTAAACATTGGATACTCATAATCTTTAAACTAACAAATCATGAAACGATTTTTTTATTTTGTTGTAGGTAACTCGAAAACTATTAACCGCAGGTACTTGAACTTTTCATTAAATGTTGTGCGTTTTATCATTTTCAAAATATTTTGACTCATTTTGAGCTGTATATAGACATTTGAAATTCGAAAATATGGTTATTTTTTACATACTTTTTAAATTCAAATTTGGATGAAGTTATATGTTATAACCTTAAAAATAATGGTTTTAATTATTTTGTTGTAATTTAAAAATATTATTAGCGGTTATTAGAGTATAATATAATTATATTGTATTCACACAATGACATTTTAAATTAATTTAACCTAATATAATTCATAATACCTAATAGTAAAATAAATGACTTTAATCACACTATCATAAAATATACTTATAGAATATTATTGAATATTTTTTTTAAATGGGTACTTTAATAATATTTTCGTGAATATTAAATAGTATATTTTTCTAATAAATTGTAATTTTGGATCAAAATTAAATAATTTGATAATTATATTTTCAATCATACATATTATTAATGTTTAAAATGTACAGTGTAGGTACAAGTAGTCGTTATAAAAATAAAAATTCACATAATATCAAAATATCTATTCACTTATTTTCAAATAAACTGCAGAAAACTAAAATTAAATTAACTATCGATTTAAAAATAATAAGTAGAATCCATTACAGTTTTTTATCATAACAATGAAATGCGTTCCACTTGTATGTGAAGCAAATAATTCTCAAACAGTCGATCTAAAACAAAAAGAGAATGGAAGTATAAAACAGCTGAGGACAATGCACCAATTCTTTGTCGGTCGGTCTTTGTGTCTATAGCCATCAAGCCACCTATACATGCTACATAATAGGTAACTACTACCTACACTATATAGGTATATAATATTATACCGTTAAAATCGTCCACCGCCGTGACGCTCAGTACCAACTTAAACAGTATAAGGTATAAAATAAACATAAATATTTCGTCTTATGAAGACTAAAACAATGAAACTAAAACAAAAAAGAATGTACGCACCTATTGCGTAATAATATTTATAGCTATAACGAGTAAATATTGCAGAGCTCATTGTATAATATCAACGAATATTTCACTGAAAGCCCTCCAAGGTGGGGAGGCGGGAATAAAAATGTTAAACAAAATTCTTGATATTCATTGCTCCCCTCTCCCCCTCCCACTCGACGTCCCACTTAAATATACTTATTCTCTGCAAGGTTTTGGCGGGAGGTGGGTGGGATTCATCGATGGATAAGTTTCAAATACAATACCTACCTTCAAATTACAAGATTTTATATGGTTATGATTTTGATAAACATTATAAAATATGCTTTACTAACTTATAAGTTATATAATATTTTATAATTAATAACTACATGTGGTGTGGCTACGCCGTTGACAGTTTTTTTTTATCGTTAGACTCACCCCTTGAAGCGAATGCATCTCAATACGTATCATTGTAGCATTTTTTGGGAGGACGAAAATAAAGTATTGATGCGACTTATACGGCGTGAAATTGTGAAATGGAATGTCTGCCGGGCCCGAAACTGTATTATACTATAACACATAGGTTCCCAACCTATGGTCCGAGGACCTCTAGTTGTCCGCGAGACATTGTCTGGTGGTCCGCGAACCATACTTACAAAATGTAAAAATTATTTAATAATTTCATTTTCCTTTGAGGCATGACACTAATTATTGACAATCGTATATAGTACGTCGTTTATTTATAAATTTATATTACATAGTGAAACCCATGTTATTAAAAGCGTCTCATTCATGTAATAATTATCAAAATTCTAAAATATGTGAAAAAAAATTGATTCTTATTTGTAAGAAAAATAAGGTATACAATTGAGGTTGTCCGTGACGTATCGAAAGTTCTCATAGTGGTCCGTAGTATCAAAAAGGTTAGGAACCACTGCTATAACATCATTTTAAGTTGTAGGCTTGTACCTACACTATAGTCGTTAATAATATTATAGGTAGTAGGTACCTATCTGGCATCTGCAGTCTGCACTTACAACAATATTTTTGTGGCCGGTGCAGCGATCCACGACCGACTGGTTGACCTTCTAAAGCGTCCCTCTCCTATAATGGGTAAGTAAATATTATATATTTTGTAGGTAGTGCCACACAACCGGTCGAAGAATTTCAACGGTAACCGCCAGAAAACTGGTTTATAAACAACGAAAGCGGCGAGAGACTCTCGACTACGTGATATAATAAAAATAATAATAATAACATTAATATTATGGTTGTGACTTGTGTGGAGTGTGCAAGACTTGCACACTCAGTCACTACGGGTATAAAAAAATAATATATATGTATAACAAACTACTAACATAACGAAATTCTCGGACTGGTATTGGTATCTATATAATAATATTATTATGGGTATAATATACGATATTACGATGTGCCCGGAGAAATAGGAATTTATTTCAATATAATATTTATTATGTTCTTCGACAAAGTTTAAAAGATACATTTTATCATATTAATATTATTAAGACACAACAGCGACCTACATAATATAATAATACTATATACCATACATATTGAGCCACAGTGCGCAGGGCTACATTACATTGTTTTGATACATTCGCTCGAACATTCGTAAACATTTTAATGTAGATTTTCACTCTGAGGATGGTGCACAGTTTCCGAGTTACCTTTATAGTGGAAATCGATGTAGAAAATTATTGAATAACAATAAATCAGTTGTTCGAGCGATATAAATTGAAATATTATATGCACTTAATATTATTTTGAGTATCTATTTCTAATAATTTAATAATAGATCTGAAGCTTATTTCATGGGAGGGGAGGTAAATAGAAATATTTGATGAGTGTCGTGTAATATTCATGGAATGAACACATCACTGTATTTCTACAATTTAGTGAGAAATATTTCTATGATAAAAACTATTAAAAAAATAGATATAGTTGACCAGATCGACAAACAATGGAAGAAAAATCAACTATATCGAACTGCACTGAAACTGATTTTTTCAGAGGTGATGCTGTCTTTGTTTAACGCACATATAGAGCACTGTTGATATCGACTTTCCCGTTGTTTATTTAGTATTTTTTTCCAAACATTTAAAATACGACAGTTTTTTAAATTTCCACTGTTTTAGTATATTTGTTCCCCGATTTAGGAGTTAAAATCAAAAATTGTGGGAAACTCGATGTCTATAGTATAGACGACACATACAAATATGATTTATGAATTCTCTTTTCTTCACTAGATCGACCTATAAGTTGGAAATAAAACCTATTTTATAAATTCCTATGTAGGGCGTGTCTTAGACAAATACCTGCATGATGACCTGCAATCCTCTTTAGACAAAAACACTTCACCAAAAAGGATCACTACAAAATATCAACGATTTAAGTACTTAGATAATGGTATTTTTTAATAATAAGGCGTTAGTAATGTTTTGTAATAGGGAAATTATTTTTTACGAAGATGATTATTAGTGAAAACGGTCATCGGTCAAACCAATTATCTGTAGATTATAAACTATTATATAACAACTATAAAATTGTATACGAGATGTAGTATTATATACCATGATTTTAAATAAACTATAAAAAATATTAAATACATCTATTGAAAAAAAAGACCATGGTGGAGAGGCATCGACGGTCGTCGTTCACGACAAATCTGCATCTCTATATTATATAATAATACAATATATATTAATACATCATACACATATTATAATTCTATTTAACTACAGCGAAACTTCGATTAACCATGTCTCGAATATCCGTGTTGATGATAAAAAAGCTACCTTCTTTTTAGTGCATTAAGAAGATAATAATATATTAATATCAGCGCACTGTGTGTTTTCTGTCTCTGACCCACACGCAACATAAACGAAACACATTTTCTAAAAATAATGTTTCTGAGTAATTTTAGAGTAAAATAATTTATTACAAAAGTGATAAAGAATAATATTTTTGTAACATACCGATTTTAATAAATATTGTCTCAAAACAATCATCATTTCAATTTACAACCTTTTTTTTTACTATGAAGTTCTTACAAGGCTCTTCACTAGTCATCTTGTATTAAATTTTCAGACTTTTTAATCAAGCTAATAAGATTTTATTGACACTTATAGAAAAAATTATATTCCAAATGTTTGTAAATAGCACTAGTCAAAATATTTTGAAATTTTTTCCATGTACCTATAGAAAAAGACAAAATAAACATTTGGTGTAAATTTTAAGTATCTAAAATCGTCCTTTTTTTAATTTCAACAAAATAAAAAAATCATTCTATGGAAAATCGGGTTGAACTTTTTTCGAAAATGTGAGTTTTTTTCATCCACATTTTGTGGAATTAGAAATTCCCTATTTTATTGTTCGTAAAGTAATTTAATAAAAATAAATAAACTCCCATCGTAGGAAGGGTGGGACCTAATTTGTAATTCTACTTTTTTTTAGAAAAATGTTGATTTTAAAAACTTTTATTTATGATAGGTATCTTATTTTTTAAAGTTTTTTAAAATGCCAAAATTATTTTGCAATAATTTTTTTAAAAACATAACTTTCCCAAAATCTTAATTTTAGGAATTTTCAGACACAAGTAAACTTTAAAATTATTTATTATCTTTATAATTTTCATAATTTATTGTTTTCATATACGTTTAACTAGTATACATTTTTAATATGTTGGATGTTTCTGTTACATCCTGTATTGTGAGATTAGGTATAGAAAAATTTAAACTAATTCATTAAAACCAATCACGAAAAATAATAAATATAGAGGTTCACCTTTCATTTTTTATCAACGCAATAATTGTATAGATAATTTTTTATCACTCCAAACACTGTATTTAAATAGAGTAATTCTGACATTTTATTCACAGTTTTCAGAAAGAGTTGTAATAATACTGGTTACTTCTTAGATTTTTTTCGTTGAAGGTATTCATTTCTACTCAACATCATGAAATTTTCGGCAAGTATACACATATTCAAAACAAAATAAACTAACTAATGATAGTTTAAAAAATTAATAATTTTCAATAATTCTTTTTTATATATTTTAACAGTCTATTGTTTAACAATATGCAAATTAACAATTTATTAAGCGTTTAAAGTAACTTCTAAACTAACTCGTAAAATAATTCTCCACGATTTGTAGTATACTAATCACCAAGCCTGGTTAATTTTAAGCACTTAACTTTACTATTTTAACTTGATTGATTTTTATTTATATAAACTCATAATAAATAACTAGTAACTTTTAATCAAATCCAAGTTATGTTGACTTACAAACAATTGAATAATAAATATTATAAAATTATTATTGATTAAGCATAGATATTGCATAAACATATTTTATTAAAATCGGAAATTAGGAAATTAAAAATGTAATCAAATTTTATTCTTGTTAATTTAACTAGAGCTGTTCAATAAAAATAAATAAACTAAATACATACATAAAAAACCACACCATGAATAATAGTAATATTAATAATGCATGATATGGTGTCTTTATAAAAATTAATACTAATATAATATAAGTACGAATTTACTATTCTCAAGAACATAATAGAATAAAATATTTTGGTCGTAATTGTATATATACTTTAAAAAAAAATTACTTCACTGAAATCAATAAGTTAATTGAATTCTCCATACAACCATTAATTTAATTAAATTTAAAAAAATAGGAGAACAAATTTTTAAAATTTTTTTTACCAACTTAGCTTAACTCAATTTAAAATATCATAGACTTATTCAGGCTTTGCTAATCAGTCATCAAATAATTGTATATTAATAATTGTATAGTCATGTTAAGTTAAATTTCTTCTCAAATAAATCCCATAGATTTAAAAAATAAAATTTAAATAATTTAAATCATGTTTATGTATTAGATATAGGCACCTACGTATGTAAATTACAAATACTACATTTTTTACTGTCCTAGTGCTGAATTCACTATTTCTGTATTTTAATAGGGATCGAGATTACGTGTAAAAATACAGTTTAATATAAACTGCTTTAGAGAATTACAATTTCATTCAAATACATTAACTATCTTCGAACAGTAACAATACCAAATGGACCAGTTCAATATTTAAAAAAAAAAGTAAATGCCATGACCCGCGATCTTTTAAAAAATTAGGCTTAGAAATTAATAAATACTGTTAGTAGGGTTCTATCATTGAAGGCCAATATTACTCTTATGTTCTTCTGCCTCTCGTAGATGAGCTATTTTACTAGATATAAATTTTTGATTTTCGTTCACCTATACTGTTATCAAATTTGCTAATTGTGCTTAGGCGTGGATTATAAATACCTGTCTAGTTAAACTAAATTTAACTGATTTTTTTAAGTTAGTAATGTAACTTTTTCTTCAATTTAACTTGTGAAAATTGCAAGTTTATGGAGTTCAAAAAATAAAAATAACTTTTAATTTGCTTAATTTAAATTAACTTAAATTTTTATATTTTACGTATCTTAACAAATTTTAAAAAAAATTGTGGACTTGCTCAGCCAAGTGAAACAGTGATTTTTTAAATGTTTTAATTATATTATTAATAAAATATAATATCATTCAATTCTACTGATTAACACTTATTATAAATGAGACAATAATATATTTAAGTTTTGTTCATATTCATTAAATTAACATAATATAAATATGTTTAAAAAAAACTTTAAAATATGTTAGGCATTGAATACAATATTATGTTAATAATGAATGATATTTTTACTAAATTCTTATTGCTAACATTTCTTTAGATGAAAGATCATAAAATAAATTTGTAAATGATTAATTTTGTTTAGATTGTATTAATTTTATTGGCAATTGTGTTAATACAACAATGCATGAGTACTCACGGTTATCACGGAGGAGAGAAATTTGATGAAGATTTCGAAACTCACTTGAGCCATGAACAAGGTGACCATAAGGTGACCAAAGGCCACAAACATGAAGACTGTGATCACCCAGACCATAAGGAGAAAGATCACACTGACCATAAGCATGGAATTATTGATCATCACGGATTTCGTAAACACATAGATTACATTGCCCATAAATTTAGATTGGGTATTCATGCAGGTTTTCATCAATAAAAACAAGGTCATAAGGGCCATCAATAATAATTGTTATACAAGAACTGTATGACAACACTGGGTAGTAAATTACTAAATTTATATTTTGTCGAATTGATTAGTACCTATAGCATCTTCTATGTATTTTTTTTTAAATGTATGTTATTATAATATCTAATATTATTATGTATTCATTACAGAATATAAATTAAGAAAACTAAATTGTTTAAATATTTATGTAATTCGTCAAATTTCTTAATAATGATATTAATAAATTTTATATTATACTAGATGACCTGTTGTCAATACTTGAATAGTATAAAAATAAATAATTCAACTATCAACATTTGTTAAATAAAATGTAAGGTTTCAAAAGTATCTAAGACGGAAATATTTTTAACATAAATAAATATTTATTTAGTAGGTAATATAAAATTATGTATAGTCTACATATTTATTAATAACGTGATGTTTCCTATATCGGTTTACTGACATCTAGGTACTACCTATAATGTCGAAAATGATATTATTTAGATATTAGAATTTTACTAAAAATAAGACATCAGGAAAAAAAATACTCCTACTGAAAATTCATTACAGTGCCGATGAAGTCTTAAAGATGAGATACCCTGGAAACCTTCTACACAGCAAACCGACTTCTCCGGATTTTTTTTGTTTGTACATTATAAATTGTATTGGATACAATATTATATTAGGTGTGTTTATACTATGGTTGCTATATAATACACTAAAAACATTTAATAATATATGTTTTTTTTAAATCGCCCCTTGAGTATTTTTTGACATTACAAAGCACATAATTATTAAAATATTAGGTAGGTAGGCAGTCTTATCCGTATGTTTCAAGTTTTTTCCAAAATTGTACATATCGGATATTACTCAGTATCAATAGGTATAGGTCAATACTCTGTGGTAAAATGAACCTTGTTGGTAACAATACTAGCGTTGGAAATGGCAACGTCGGAAACAGCACGTAGGTAACCGATTTAATTTTAAGTGAGGGAGATAGTGTACTTCGACTGCTATTTGTTTTTACCGTTAACCGTGTCAGGTCAAAATGTGGTAGGTTATTTTTTATACTGTACTGTATACATTGAGGTCATAGGGAGGGGGAAAGGTTCCCTCTCTACAATTTAAGGGGACAATGCCTCCCCTTGGTATTTTGTGAATTAATTGGAAAAATACTATCGAAAAGTTATTTTATGGGAAATTAAGGACAATACAAAAACTTAAATGCACTAAAAAATCATCAAAAATACCATTCAATAAAATTACCCACCCATATTACACTGAAAAATTAGGTACATTTTTTCTATGAATATTTTATTAATAGCACACATTATGATTAATTATGAGCTAAAAATAAAATACAATTTTTTCTTTGATAATTTTATTTATATTAATTATTTTTTACTATTTTAGGTACCTAATTTGTTCTATTTTCTAGGTACAATATTGTATCTATATGTATAATAATAGCAATATTACAGCCTATACTGATCTCATTCTTTATTCGAATTTAATATAATTTTTGACCTTGATTCATTATAAATATTTACCGAAGTGCTTGATTTTTGACAAACTCTCAAAATATGTACTAAAAATTTAAAATATACTCTTATAATAAAAAATATGTTTTTTAAAACCTAACATTTCAAATTATGCAAAAATATAAACTAAAAACTTTAAGTAGGTGTTTTATCACATTGATATTCCATTATATGAAATCATCAAGCTTTTTCCATCAAGCCTAATTGTACATGCTACAATCAAGATTTAGCTTAGAAAATAATATTACGTAGTACTAAGTGCCGGTGGAAGGGCAGAGCAAAAAGGACAGCTGACCGATAACCCACCATTTTAGGGACCCCGTGTCTTTCATGGGATTTAGTGATGATAACGAACTTATTTGTTTTTGAATATTCCAACAAAATATCAAAAATCGATTAATGTTAGTTTGTTAATTTACTGTTGAATATTCAATATCGTTAACATTTTAAATTCAAACACTCAAACACACAATAAAAAATATAATAATAAAGTGCACCTATACCTACTGTATTTAATTTAAAAAAATATTTAAAAATAGAAATAGTGGGTATCTACGTAGAAAATAATAAAAAAATTTAATGAGATGAGAGAAATTGCTTTTTATAATTACAAATATTCTTAATATTGGGCTTCATCAATTAAAGTTGTATGATCATATCAAGTCTGTTGCGGTATTTTGTTTTTGTTGATGCATTTTTATCAATATTATTTCTGTATACTATATAAGCACACTAGAAAGTATAGACTTTACCAGGGATGGGCAACTCAAAGTTATTAGAGGGCCAATTTTTAGAAAATTAAAATCTAGCGATCTTCAGCATAGAAAGCAAAAAACAAGGGGGTCATTCAAAATATACATTTTATTTAGCATTTATTTTGTTAATAATGTAATTTGAAAATGTACCTCAGGCCAAATAAAAATGGCACGAGGGGCGGATGCGGGTCGCCAGTTGCTCATCCTTGGTCTATACCATATACATTGTTATTTGATCTACAAACATTTTTTGAATACAAACACCTTTTTTGCAATAATTTTTAAAATGAGCCATAAAGAAAGTCTTTATCTTAAAAATTAAAAAGTTATAATGGTTGCAATATAATGAGCGGCGATCACAGGTTGATTTTATAGAAAATAGAAATGATCGATGACATTTAAAAAAAATTCTTCATATGACAATGGGCGAGAGGCAAAAAAAAAAATGGTATTTTGAATAAGTCTAATATAGATAAATACTAGTGATAACTATGTTTAGGCACGATTGGCTTTTATAAATATTTAGAATTTAAATAGATCAATATTTTGCAGCCCGGGAAAATGTCCCCATTACCTCCCCCCCATTTATTTTAGCCCCAGTAATAGTGAGTTTTGCTGTAACGTGGGGATAATACCTTTTCTAAAAAAGATTGGCAATAGTGCGTTTTGGAGAATGTTCAAATTCTTTAATTTACAAAGATTAATTCATTAAAAATAGTACTTATTGGTCTAACTGTTATGTTTATTATAATGATTTATACCAATAATAATAGTTTTTTCATTTGTTCTGAGGCACCCATCGATTCCTAGCTATATGTTTTAAGTACATATAATTTGATTTCTAACTCAACTCCGTTAAGAATGGCTATAGTACGTTTTGGATTGTCACCCATCATTATTTACGAAGGTGGGTCAATTTAAAAATTGTACTGGCCACCATTTAGATAAGTATTTAGTATACTAGTATACTATAGTGTATAACTAACCTTTTTTGGGGACGCAGTTTACCCATACAATATAGTAAATACATTAGCCGTTTTAATAAACAAAAATACTAATGTAGCTATGTGAACATGCGGCATGCATGTCCACCATGTATGTACAAGTAAATCAGTGTTTTCCAACATTATTTTATTCAACGTCTTTTTTAATGTTCAAAAACCTCACACCACCACTCTAGATCAGTTTTAAAAAAAATATGTTTAATATCACCTTTCATTAGTGATCGAATCAGTTTTCAGTTAAGTTGTTATAATCAGTTGATAATTTAAATAACAACTAGAGTAAAAACAATGTTATTAAATACTATAGGTATAGAAGTACTTATAGACAATACTTACTTATAAATTAATTGTCCACCACAAATATTAATTATATAGCTATAATTTCGAATTTACTGAAAATATAAAATAATAAAATAATTACACATATTATAATACTTACCTACCACAACAGTGACTGCCTCAGGTTGATGATTTCCTACTAATGAACCTTGTTTTATTATAACATAATGTTATTTACTATGGGTAGTTTTATTATATGTAAATTATATAATAAGTAGGTACCTACAGAAAAAAAATATGGTTGCATAATTTGTAATAGTTATATTCTACGAATAAATTATGACGTAGATTACCTATGATCGTTTTTGTACAACATAGATTGTCTATTTTAGCAGTTAATACAAGCACACTGATTGTGACACTAACACACTTAAAGGCCGTTTGAGATTGTAAGTTTTTTTTTAACGCCGTTCATGTTTGTATTTGAGTGGTACCTATAGTAGGGGATTTACGGGGGGACCCAGGAACACTGGACCCACTGACATTGTTATAAATATTTATTTTACATATACTAGTTTATATGGTTATACATATAACTATTTCAAGTATACTGAAATAATATGTTGTATAACTATTTTTAATTTCCAACAATTATATAAGTGTAAAAATAAAAATAATAGGTAATTTTACACTATGGGGTTCTCTCACTACAGAAAAATGTTGGAAATCAAAGAGTATCACATCATATGACTTAGGTAATCCAGAAATTTAATTAAAATTTCATAATTCAATTTTAATTAATTGTAATATTACAATGGCCTTGGGTACATTCTCCGAACATTAATTAGAAGGTTTTTTCTAATTATTATGTTATGTTTAATGCTATTTATACAATAAAAAGAATAAAAAAACTTCCAGACTCTCTTACGTTTTTCAATGTGTTGAGCAATCAATAAAAATAATTTATTAAACTGCCAGTAATCATATATAAAATCCTGCGTATTCCATTGATATAAATACTTAATGATTAATACTACACAGCAATCTAAAATAAGATAATTTTAATTTTATACTCATTGAAGAACAATAAATCTATACTGCTGAACTACTTATGTTTGACAATTTGATTATCCTTTAATATTAATAAGTGGTGACCTATTGGTAACTGCACGTTATGTAGTTTTTCAGCGTGTGTAAAAACATTTATTGAAAATATCAAAATATATTACTCCTGTGGAGCTTTAAAGCTAATTGTACAAATTATACACAATATAAAAGAAACTCGATATTTTCATGTTGTTGTAGAGTTTATCAGATATCAATCATCAACCCTATACTCTCAGTTTTGAACAATATTAACTACACATTTCAAAGTTAGTCATAAATAAATAATACAGATAGTGATTAAAATGTTTAATTTAACACTATTAAAATAGGGTATATTATATGTCACATTGAAGATGTAATGCTGACGTAATTATATATTGATATTATGTTATATAATAGGTAAAAATGTCAACTGTCAAGTAAAAGAAAATTAATCATTTAAAAAAAAAAGCTGGATTGTTTCATTTAAAAATTAAAACCATTAAACAAAACAAAAAAATTAAACAACCATTATAAACATCTAAACAGTTTGTTTTTGTCTATATATTTTATTTCACGCGACGTTGCGTAGTTGCCTATTATGAGAATTTATAAAAGCATAGCATGACGAGTGACGAAATAATATTGTTAATTGTTCAATAATTGTCTTCGCTTGAGCCATGACAGCCCGCAATCTGCGAAGTTTTACCGTATAATAAGAACAATCAAAAGCTTAATATAACTGTCATAATTATGTTCGTTTGTATATTAATCTACTGTACACCAATTCGAAAACTGGTATGGTGCCGAATCGCTCTATTTAATAATATTGAACTATCGTAATAATACCTTTTTTTTCGTTTTGGAACCGACCACGCCACGGGAACAGATTTTGAGTTATTTCCGCGACGTGGTCATCGTTTATTTTGCAAATAAAAATATTATACATACATAATTGTCTCTCCCACGGTTGTCTACTCTCGGTTATCTATTAGAAAACCGTGGTCTCTTCTGGACGGAGACCGTCACGAAAACACTGTGGGTGTTCTACGTTTTTTAACGCAGCTCGACAAGAGACAACAGCGTCGTTACATATTTTCATTCTTTCAAAACATGGTTTAAGACCTGGTGTCTTCTTTTCTCCTTTTTCATCGTCTTCACGAGCCGGTGTTTCTACCAGCCGCTCGCCTTCTGTCTCGTTCTGTGTTGAGTTGAGGTCGAGTTGCAGCGGTCGTCCTTCCCTGAAAATGCCCTAATAACATGAATTTCGATCGCCCTAAATATGACTCTTAAAAATTACATACTTAGAACCAGTTAGCCAAAAGCCATCCCGTTTGATATTCTTCTTCGCGACCCGTTGTCGCAAGCACCCACCAGTGTGGATACGCTGCATATAGCCAGGGCAGCTTCCCGTCAATTGGTAAACCTCTGCTGTTCTCTCGTCCTGCTCGTTGAGACCAAGTATGCCTATGTCCTGGACCGCATGACGAAATGTCCTAGGAACGCACAACAGTTGCTGCAGGACTTTCCTCCGGACGATGTTCTTGTCGCCGATATTGTAATGGTACCTATACTTAATAACTATAGTTTCGGGTAGAAAACCAAAGTCGTCAAATTACAGTAGGTTGATTAAACTATAATTTTTTTATAGGAGTTGTATACGATTATTACGTTTATTAATTATTACCTTGTGCTACCTACCGCTTTATATTATTGAAAAGTGGGCAACGCTTTGATGTAGGTACATTAAGTTTCTATATCAAATAACAGTAATAATGGATGTGGAAGTTAGAACTCAATAATCATTGTATACCTACGAAAAATGATTTCGAGCCAAGACGGCCTGCTAGCCTGTATTAGTATTAGGTACTATTTATGTAAATTGTACGAATTATTGTGTAATTTATTTTACTATTAGGTATTAATACCACAGTAAGAAAAATTAATTTAAAAAAAATACCACTTATTACATTTCACTCTATTCATTTCGACACTACGCAGCAGAAAATGCTGCTTATATTCACCGCCGATTGAGAGTTTATTCACAAGGGCAAAAATGGCGCTGGTGGCCAAACGGCAACGATAAGTTCATCGGTTACCTTGGAAACGCCACGGAGGTTAAAGCACCGGATCGATAGATTCTACTGAAACTGTCTGAAACGTATACAACGTGAATAACATGTTAAAGAAGAAAGTTGAAACCTCGTCAAGATTTTCCTACGGCTAAATAATTATATAATGCTATGAATCTGCTTCCAAGTCCACTTTCTGATATTTTAGTACAGTTTGTCTACGTGCTTTTTGGGATATTAAACTAACGATTATTATTGAAATAGTCATGTATTTAAGATTGACTTGTTCGAGGTTTTTTTTATTCATTTGAATTAAGTAAGTGCTTTTACACTACTCTATACGGATTACTTTAATATAATAGTATAATATTATACATTGTAGTTTGGTCTGTACGTATAATAATATTATAAAGAGAGGCACGTTATTTGTGTTTGGAATAAGTATCGAAAATAACATCCAAAAGGTCAAGTAAAATTCGGGATATTTAAAATTAATTATTGAAAGAGCATAAGAACAAAAAATGTTTAGCGCAGATAATAATAATAAAAAAATACAAACTGTTAGATGTAACATTCAGTGAATTTCAAAAGCGATCAGGTGGGTTATAAAAAGGAATATAAAACAACATTAAATACGATTGGATCAATATATATCTTATTATATCAGCAGGGTTGGATCAGAAAATTGTAACACCATGTGATCAAATTTGCCCATTTCATTTAAATAGCTGTGAAAATAAATTATTTAAATATTTCTTATACCCAATACATATTATGGTATATAATATATATTGTAAAAGTACCTAAAGATACCTAAACTCTTCTTATAGTTCTTATCGATAGTCAGCATTAACTAATATTGTATATTACAGTGAAAACTCCCCTAACAGACATCTCTAAATGGCGGATACCTCCAAATACCAGGCCTATTTTTGGAAATAAACTACAAACTTTCTGCCAGCTGAAATCTCTGAAAAATGACTCATTTTTACAACAATATAGATTGTAAAATAATTTGTTGAGTATTATGTGTTCATTTAATACGATTTTTGATTTATTTCAAACATTTTATTTGCCAAGTACTGTTACATTTTTATTTATTTTATCGTTGGACTGGTTTTAGAGTAGGTAAATATTACATACAAAGCTTGAAAGTCTATAGTTTATTTAAAATCTATGTATTTTTATTTTTCATGCAGTTGTTATGATAACTTAAGTAAATATATATATAAAGTTATATAGTTATATATAGCTAAAAAGAGAGAAGGACTGTGTGTTTTCCAGGCTGCGGAGAAAGGCGAAAACCGCGTGGTCCATTCTACGTACACTAATAATATACCTATTACATATTATTTTGTCTTCAGGTCCCGCTGAAAATTTGGCTACTCGTCAGTGGATACGATTTCTCTTTCAAAAGTATTTTCGCTTGAAAATTATTTAGAAATCGCGAGCATAATGTGCATCGATATAAGTTTTGTAATTACCTACACAATTACCTAGGTACTCAATTACATCGTAACAATAAAAACTACCATATTTATTTGCGGAAGATAAACATAAGATAATATTATAAGTATACGCATAAATGTCAAGACGAGTCTGTGTCTCCAAGTGGCGATAATACGATTATAATGTTAGTTTTTAGATTTCCAGAAACGCATGAAATGTTCGGTTTTAATTGATTTTACACGACATTCCTTTTTCCGGATAATTCATCACACAATTTATCGATGTATACCAGAGCCTGAGACATTTTTCACTCTAAATAATTCTCCCGGCGTGCAATGCCACCCACATACAGCGAGTGCCATAATATATATATAGTGTATACTGTATAGGTATACCTATTATTATTATTATTATTATTACTATTGGAACTGTGCAACGAATACTGTACGACATTCTTTATATTTCACAATAATGTTATCGCGGTAACCATCTGGCGCCCGGTAACAATATAATGTAATACCTATTAAAATAAACAATATGGTTCAACTCCTTTTTTCCGGTACGCCGTATGGAAACTTAAGGTCGTCGTTTAGGGACGCACATCACAGATAACTGCGATATAATAAAAATATTATACATTTTATACTAAATGACACACATGTAAATATATTGTAGTTTGGTCCGTATGGATCATAATATTATAAGTATACCTAATATTATTAGGAACTTATTTTATTACAAAGTACACTATGTCAGTATGTCACTATCCAGTCGGTTAGGTAACCTATGTCCAGTCGGGTGTTAACTTACACCGTTGATAGTTTTAGACTCTCAAATGCGGATTTTACACGCTTTTTTTATTTAGGCGCAATTCACCGGATCGTGGGTGTAGGTATTTAAATACTATTGTCGGTATCACATATTTTTAATAAATTAGTAAATTTCTTATTATTATAATTATAACTGAGTAACCCAACATGGATATAGTACTATAAAAACAACACGAAAATAGTCTATAATGTAACTACAACTGATGCGTTAAAAAAATGTCCAAAATATGTTATAAGTGTTTTTTTTGGCTTGTATTTTTATTAGCCAAACCCCATGGGCCATGGTGATGTTATTGTTGAACGTCTCATTTCGTAGATACGAATCGCCACGAAGAGAATCGTCTTACAACTGGTACTATTGTTTTTTTTGTAGCCATGTGCTCTATTTGCAGCGGTCGTATTCATATTATATTCTAAAAGCGTCAATCGCCTCTTTTCATTGTCATTGTCTGGGAGCAAATCACTACTTATTGTTATATACATTGTATATTGCCACTTATTATTATTATTATTTAGTGTGCCACCTCTTATCATTTGTATTTTGCGTGTGTGAATTCTTTATAGTGTACCAAGGTTAGCTAGCAGAGCACCGACAAACTGTGAATTCCTATTTATTATAAATATATGTTCATTATTTTATTGCTTTTAATACATTTTAGTGCCAAACAAGCTCATTTTTGTAATTATTTTTTAAAATATTTTTTGAGCCAGAAGGGCTAAGTTTCTTCAATAATCAGTTGTAAAATGTTGTTGCCCCCGGGTGACAAAATCTTAATAGGGCCCTTCTAGTACAACGACCCACCGCCGTGAAAGAATCGCAAAAAAATATCTAAATTATTAAATGCGTTTGTTCGATTTAGAACCATTCGTCACGCGAGTAAGCACGTCTCCAACCTAGGTGAAATAAAATATTGTCACACTACGCCCATTACACGCAGAAAATCAATTTCAGAGAAAACTTCTAAAAAGCCAGCGGTGCGTGGCTGCGGCGGAAGTCGTTGCGTCGGTGCCGTTTCACACGATCGATTTTCTGCGTTTCCATAGCGACTTCTTTGCTCGTTGGCAAATGATACGATACGCGCAATCGCACCAAGAAAACGGCATTATTGCGTTGAGTTTTAGCAAAAACAGCGTTTATAGTAAGATCTCACAAGACTCACAGTTATACCACATCTTTGCAGTCTTTGTTTGAAAAATATAAACAGATCACCAACGAATGCCTGACGTCTTATCACTTTTGTTCAATCTCCTATAAACAGATATTTTTTAATTTATCATTACTGAAAAAAGATATTATCAATCTGTGTAAAAATAAAAATAAAACTATAACACATTTATTAGTCTCGTTGATTTGGTCTAGCTTTGAACAATAATATTATGTTTATTAAGTTGGAAAAAAAATTGTTGATGTTATTTTATTGTTAAATATGACATTTATGGTCTCTAAAACGGTTATCGTACTACTGAGAACGTTTTACCTTTTTGACCGTATGATAGAGCACACTCGAAATGAAACATTGAAATAACCTTCGACCAAATAAACAAAAAATACTTGTCAACTAATCAGCAACCTAACCTAATCAGTACAAAATGTACTGCCATATAGAAGTTGCAAATTATACCTAACAATTTACATAATATAAGCAGTTCCCTATCCGAGTGGAACCCTGATGACCCATATTTTAGCAGATATTTAGACTTATTTACGTCTTTAATAAAAATCGTTCTTCGTATATAATGATTTTATATCATTGAGTTCATATTTAACACACCCATTACAGTGATTAACGCGACACCTAATGTAGTAATGTACAGCACACCACTTACCTGATTTTTTCTTATAGAATTTCTGAAAATACGTGATTTTCATAAAAAAAATTTTGTTCCCCGTTTTTTTAAATTTACCTATGTGGCTTGTCAATTTGATGAAAAAAAGTATATTACTATTATAATTATTGATATATTATATAATATATTCTCAATATTTTAAGCATTTTAGTATTTTTGGAGTGATTTATTTTACTCGTTCTAAAGATTTTGGACAAAAAAATTAAATATTAGTATGACCTATATTAACATGACCCACCTTTTAAGAAATGTGTTAATCAACATTTAGTTAACTTAGTGGAATATTTGGTTAAGAACTGATAGGTAAACTATTTTATCATCTGAATCGTTAAAATTATACAATAAATAAGATCCTGTAATCTGTATGAA